AGTAAAATCTTGTCAATATGTGAGTGCCGTAAAGGTATTATATTTACGAAAATCTCTTCTTATAACTAACGAAGACTTTGTTTCTATATGAAGCTGACTTCGACATTTTGTTTTAATAAAACTTAGTATCGAAAAGTTTCTTTAAAAATTTGACTAGGCTATATTATACTGGTTCGTTGAAGCCTTTTACTTTTTTAATCTTATTTTATCTTTCAGCTTCGCTAAAAGCACTTCTACCAACGCTTGGCTTACCAAATTTACGCCAATTGATAAAATTTTGCTTCAACTTCTCATTCAACTACGTATTCAACTTTTGTTGCCTGTAAAATCGCCTCGTGCGAATGCCCTATGAATGAGAAGTTGAAAGTGATAAAGTTGCCATCCCTATTCAGGCGAGGCGATTTTGGATTCAACACGAATCGTTATTTACATTATTGAAAATGAATTTAAATCGCAAAATTTTATCAATTGGCGTAAATTTGGTAAGCCAAGCGTTGGTAGAAGTGCTTTTAGCGAAGCTGATAGGGCATTCGCACGGGGCGATTTTTCAGGCAACTTTTAGTTGAAAGCATAAATCGCCTCGTCCGAACGGCCTTTCAACTAATCGCTTTCAACAAAGTTGGTCGCCAGCCAACTTTGAGCTCGTTCAACTTTTTTTCCTTGCAACCCTGTGTTTGTTTACATTCTGTTTCAGTGTTGGGATATGAAATTGTTCCTTCATACGAAATCTATACAAAAAATGTACTTTTCGGCTATAAATTGTATACACTTTTTGATTCGCTCATATATTTTCTTAATACATTCCCTTCAAGACCAATGATTTTATGGTATTCATGAGAAAGTTTTATTGTTTATGTACATACGTTTACGTATTTTACACTTTTACAAATTGATTCCACGTGCACATGTATTGCATTTAACGCAAATATGTATGCACACATTTTCAGGTATACATCTTAACAAAAAGCATATTTAAGCTATTATTAATGGATAAAAGAGACATTTTCTTTGGATTGAGTACTAAAATTTGACATTTTAATAGAATTTCAAGTGCTTATCAAAACTTTACGAGAATATTTGACCATTTATCTTAATATTATTAAATTTTAATTATTTTTTGTAAAAATACGGTTTATATTTTAAGAAAAGCCGTACAAATCCAAAGTTCAAACTTTGTGCAACATTAAAAAAAACCAACACACTTTCGTAAAAATTTCGAGCTTTTTAATTCGATTTCCTAGATTTATTTTGAGTGTGCGGTTTTTTAGCAATTAAATTTTAATAGAAGTAAGTTTTTTAAGATTTCTTTGATGAAGGTGTTGCTAATTTTCTCCATATAAAAAAATCGTCGAACACACTTCGTATGGAAGAAAATGACTGGCATCGTCGACAAAAAAAAATGCCAAGTTCAACGGTAAGTCCCAGCTACTTTAAACTTGCACTTTATTATACTAAACTTGAATGGGCTAAAAACTAAAGAATATTGATAAAGCTTGAAATTTTTACGAAAGTATGTTGGTTTTTGGATGTTTCGCATAGATTTAATCTTGGGTTTATACAGTTTTTCTTAAAGAATACATTATATTTTATAAACAGATAGTTAAAATTAAAGAATAATAAAATAAATAGTAAATCTTGTCAATATGTGAGTGCCGTAAAGGTATTATATTTAAGAAAATCTCTTCTTATAACTAACGAAGACTTTCTTTCTATATGAAGTTGACTTCGACATTTTGTTTTAATAAAACTTAGTATCGAAAAGTTTCTTTAAAAATTTGCCTAGGCTGTATTATACTGGTTCGTTCAAGCCATTTTTCAAAACTTACAAAGGTAAATACGAACTGGCGAACAAAAGAGAATACAAAAAATTTCTTGCTGTGAATTTTCAGAGCTATATATTTTTAGTATTCATTACAAAATTGTATTAAAAAGTACTGCTTATTAGGAAAGTATATTGTAAATGAAATTGTATCAAACAAGTACAATTGTACCAAAAAATGCCAACACTGTTGTGTATACATATTTTTTTTCTTTTTTACTTTTTTACTCTTATTTTATCTTTCAGCTTCGCTAAAAGCACTTATACCAACGCTTGGCTTACCAAATTTACGCCAATTGATAAAATTTGGCGATTTAAACTCATTTTAAATAATGTAAACAACAATTCGAGTTGAATCGAAAATCGCCTCGTCTGAATAGGGATGGCAACTTTTTCACTTTCAACTTCTCATTCAACTCCGCATTCAACTTTTGTTGCCTGAAAAATCGCCGCGTGCGAAAGGCCTATTACAAACGCTTTGCACACACACACGAACCCACATATAATGCCTTGCTAAGGGAGCCGATTTTGTCAAGAGGGATAATGTAATTTTTCAGTAAAATGATAATAATTATTGATTGTATGATTTAAATATACATCATAATTATAGTATAGTTACTTTTATTGTTGTGAAGTTCTGCTCAAAAATACTTCGGTTCCTTTTCTTCACAACACAGAAAGAGGACTCTACTTTGTGAGGTTTAAAATACTTCTGCTCCTTTTGTTCGCACCACAGAAACAGAATTCTATTTTGTGAATTTGTATAAGACATTTAGTTATTTGCAAAAAACACTTGCACTTTTCGCACTTTCTTTTGATGCATTTCACGCATTTTTATATACAAGACAGTTTTATAAAACACCCAGTAACCATAATAAACATCACTGGGGCGGCAGCCCCAGGCTTACCACACAGAAAGGGAATTCTAGTTACCTACAATTCTGGTAGCTATATCACTGGCCGGGGCTACACCAAAAGGAGAATTCTATTTAGTAAGGGTTATAATCTTAAAGCGCGGCCGAAGGCCGCCTACCCATAAAGGAATTCTACGCAAAAATACTGTGGACGCAACTCCTATTTTTCGACTCCTATTTTTAGTTTTTTTTTTCTAACGAAACGGTGGTGTTACCGACGAAAGGCGCATACAGATTCCTACAGTTGGACCACCCTTCGCAACCTAGCGGTAGACATTAGCTTAGTTAATGCCTACACAAAATGTACACATAAATACCTTTGACAAACTTATGTACACACTTACATACTTATCTATATGAAATGTACCACCTTTCTCTCTTGTGTATTTTCGTATAACTGTACCTTCTTAAGTTACATATGTACATAGGTACGTACATTAAACTTATTTACTATATGAATACCTATTGTTAAAAAGTTCAAGAATTAACAGTAAAATCAGTCCATATTTCAACTCACTGTAAATGATATATATAAGTATCGCTTGTGGATCATAAGCACAGTCGGGCAAATATACAAAAGATTTTTAAGCGTCCGTTCGCTATAACACGCTAACAAAATTTGTATTTAATTTTTATTAATTTGCTCAACTGCAGCGCGAAATATTCGGCGCGATATATCATAAAAATCTTTTATCACCTGAAAAGGTCGTGTTTCTGAAAATCGCCTTTCACTTTCTGTTCTTTTATTTTAAATCGTCGCTAATTTTGAATTGTCCATTATGGATAATAAAACCTTGGAGCATAACTGCCTCAAGTGTGACGGCGTAGACAGCGAGAAGATGGTCCAGTGTGACTCCTGCGACGCCTTTCTTCATTTAGCTTGCATTGGAGTCAACAGCGATGTGGGTGAAATAAGTTGGAGCTGTGAAGCCTGTGGACGCAGTAGGTTAGCTACAAACACGCACCCGACATCAACGTCCTCGCCAACTACCGGACAAAGAAACCAGCACGTGCTGTTTCCATCGTCACAGCAAATGGCAGTAGCCACCATGGCTACATCTTTAACTACTGTCGAAAACCCCTACCTTACAATCCACCACCGCCACTAGCTCATCTAATTTTAAGCCGACGCCTTCCTGTTGGAATTGTGAGCCGACCGCAAGATATGCACCTTGACAAGGTCGTTAGTTGCCGACATTGACGATGGCGATCCGGTTGAATGGCCACTCTTCATCAGCAGCGTTGAGAGTAGCACTGCTGTCGTTGGATACACTGAAGCTGAGAATTTAATGAGACTAAAAGCGAGCCTTAAAGGAAAGGCGCGGGAGGTAGTTAAAAACAAACTGTTCTTGCCATCCATGGTCCCTGAGGTAATCAAGACTCTCAAGATGTGCTTTGGTCGACCGGAATATATTCTCGGGCGTGCGGTGAACAGAGCACGCGCTCTGCCACCGGTGAAGGACAAATTGGAATCCCTCATTGCTTTCGCTCTTGGTGTGCGAAATATATGCGCAACCATGGAAGGGTGCAAATGGTCATGCATCTACATAAACAGCCAAAAGTTAAACTGGGCAGTTCACCCGAAAGACGAAAAAATACCTGTGGTCAAGCAGTAAAGTGAATGGTTGTATAACTTAGCAGAAGCAGCCAGCACTGTTGTTAGTCCAGCGCCGACTAAAAACAACGCCTTGGTAAGCACACTGTTATGGTACGCATACTTTGGGAGCAGCAGTGAGTGCAGGCGGCATGACACAATGGGGTGCACTGTGGCTAGTCATGTCGGCTGGGCGGGGTTCTTGCCTCACTAATGTTCCCTGCGCCATAGCAGAGAAAAGTCATGCCTGCCAAACATCTTCGCTTCCGGCATGGCCGGAAGTATCGGACGGACACAATTCAAAAAATCAAAAAAAAAAAACAGTTGCACAAAAAAAAAGCTGAAAAATAAACGTTACATTTAAAATATTTAAAATAAAGTGAAAATCAAAACAAAGCAGAATCCAAACTAAAACTGAAATAAGAAGAAATGAACCAGAACAAAAAAAAACATAAGGCCGAATATGGTTGGGGGCTACTGGTGGAAGTGTGGCTCCTGGTGCTGACCCACCCTCATCCATGGTCACCGGCGCACCGTATTCCCGATGACCCCATTATAAACGCCCGATGACCCCATTTAAAAAGCTATAAGTACATCCAAACGTATCGCTCTTGTTTGATTAGATACCTTATTATAATTTTAGTTGTAAGTCCTAACAGCTAACTTCAAATCAAAAATGTAATCATCTGCTAGGTAAGTATGCTGATATACCCTGTATGCACAAAATGACACCTTAAACGAATCTTAGTATTACTATTACTTTGAGCTTTAAAAAACTAAAAATTGCTGGAAGGGCCAGCAAGGTTAGACGGAATGTCTTAAAAGCAACGAAGTTATATATATATCAGCAAACTTTCTACCATAGATCATTAAAAAAATTATTACTGGGAATGAGATAACACAACTTCTTAAGCACTTATAGCATATTCAACTGATTCGGTACAATTTATAACACGTTAAGCATAGAAGTATTATCCACACACAAAAACAACAATGCATATAAATTAATAAATTATAGACTACCCCGGTTGAAGAGTGGCGCGCTGGTGTAGCCGCTGTCCGCTGTTCTGATGTGCGCCCCGGGTGCTTAACCCGGTTTAAGAGTGGCGCGCTGGTGTTGCCGCTGTCCGCGGTTCTGATGTGCACCCCGGGTGCTTAACCCGGTTGAAGAGTGGCGCGCTGGTGTTGCCGCTGTCCGTGGTTCTGCCAGTAGATGCCAAAATACAAGCCCTGATATATATTGCTCTCTTTATTTTAACATTTGTGTCAAGATATAAACTCAATCCTGTGAGGACAGGCAGTTACAGACAGCCTCCGAGGGAAAGCGTTTATTAACCGAAAAA